GCCCTCGCTTTGATCTTTTGTCTAATTTTCCATAGCTATGCTACAGCTTCAAAATACAAACTATCAGTCACGAATACACAAACCAAATGGGTTACCTCTACCTTCTGCAATACTCTAGTGATCCTGGTCTTGGTCTTAGAAATTTAACACACCAATTTGTTAGCATAGCGCACTCACACACATACTGTCAAGTGCCAGTCTGTGAACTGGTTTAACACACCCTACATTCTTAGTCAGACATAATCTACATATATGCACAACACTCCTAGCACGCCTACAGCACCATAGTAGCAACCTATCGAGCACTTGTTAGGTACTCTACCACGCCCACACTTAGCACACTAAAGAGTGTTTCACATGCACATAAGCACAGCAATGATCTATGATGCTCACACCAACACGTCTGAACCTCCTCTAAGGCTAATTCTAGTTTCAATAACACCTTGCACTGATCACCTTCTCTAGATCGACTTTCATTATCAATTTTGAACCAAGTTCTAGTCACCAACTTTAGTTTGCACTTGTTAGCTTTTTAGGTGAGATGGTGATCCAAGAGAAAGGTGAATTGAATTTTTCCAAATTCTTCCTAAACAATGATTTCAATATAGTTGAATGAAAATTAAAATAATAAGAAATTTTGATGAAAATATAATACAAACAATAACAATTAATGAACCTAAAATCAAATGTAAACAATAATAAATTGTAAAGAGATAGGGATAGAGAAATCAGACACAATGATTTACAGATGTTTGATCATTTTTCATAAGGCACCTACATCCTCTCTTTTTGGTTATCCATACCAAGGCTTCAATCCACTATTCTTGAAATAAAAATATAACCTATCTTTTTCTTTCTAAGACTTAAGATAGAAACCTCTACCCTTTGTAATATTTTACCCAATCTCACTACAAAGCTCTCAAGAGGATACCTCACCTCTTGTTCTCTTTCACATTTGTATATCAAAGGTAATTTTGTAAACAATAGAACAACCTCTCTAAGGCTAAGTGTTTACTAAGTTTAAGTATAAGAAAATGATGAATGAACAACAAATATAATTTGGATACAATAAATACAAAGATATAGACTTTGAAGCTCTAAAAACTCTTGATTCTTTAAGAAAATAAAAATATGATTTATTGGCTTTTGCTCTCTTGATTCATCAATCCTCTTAGTGTGTTGGAGTACTCAATTTATAAAAAAATTGAAGAAGTAGCCATTGAGAAAGCTTGGAGTGAAGAAATGCATGCTGGAATCATGAAAAGGTAGCCATTGGTGTGCTTGCACCCATAACCAATCGATCTCTTGCTTGGGGGATCGATTGGTTCATGTTTTGAACCATTTTTCACTTGAAAATAACCTAACCGATCGATCCCTTTTTGTAGGGGATTGATTGGTTCATGGGGTGATCGATCCCTTATTTGGGGGGATCAATCCCTTTTCTAAATTTTTAATCTTGGGAGCATTCTGTTTGAAAAAGCAATCGATTCCTTCTAGAGGGATCAATCCTGTCTATGCTGGGTGGTAGTCTCTCGTTTTGCACTATACTTATTAATTTGATCATATCTTGAGTTAAACAAATCCAAATTATAAACCGTTTAAAGATTTAAAAACTAGACTTAAAGGGATTTCTATCCATAAAAATTTATCACCTAATTCATTGAGTACAAATTATAGTGAATTTTCAAATATTACCCCTTGTGCAGTTTTTTTGACAACTGTAGAGTGTCTAGTAAAAATTTAAAATCTTTTCTTAGAAAATTTATATTTTAATTTTGTTTAATCCATTAGAAAGTAGACTCAAAGAGCTTTCCAACCATATAAATTTCAAATATTAAAACTTTGTGAATTAATACAAAAAAAAAAATAAGTTCAATGTTGGAAAACTTTGTTTTTGTAAAATATCTTTCTTAAGTTAATCTATTTCTCAAAACTAATATTGCCAAAATTATATTAAGTCCAAAATGAATAAATTCACTTTAAAACAACAATTGGACCTTCATTTAAGCTCAAATAAATAATCTTTAAAGATAGATTTGGTTTGAGAAATATGAAACCAAAAAAGGTTTGTTTAAACTTTGAAAATCATATTATTTATTTAATACCAAAATATAAAACTTAAGAAGATGTACTAAATAAATCTTTTTCAAAATCTTGATCATGTTTATTTAGCTTTAATATTTTATCATTTCAAAATAAGGATCAATTCAAGGCTAACAGCACTAGACTCTAATACCACTTGTCACAGGTCAAGACTTAAGCTTCAAGCTCGTATGACTCAAAGACCTGGGAATGGTATCTTCTAGTATCCTAGATTAGCCTAAACTCAAACTGGTGCTGGGGCACTCGGGCTTCCAGGGTTTAGCCACCTAGAATGCTACAAAAAAACAAGGCACATAAAGTGTTTAAGGAAAAGTTAAAAAGAAACAAGGAGATAAGGTAAAGTAAACTTGTATTACTCAAGCTGTAGTGTACATCATGTGAGTAGGGGAACCCTTTATTTGTCATTGAGGCCTTCTTACATCTATGGTTAAGATTAATCTTATCCTATGGCTCATAAAAAGCCCAAAGATTACAAGAGATTATAATTAAGAGTTTAAAATTCAAATGATTTTATCATAAAGAAGTTTGAACCATGTAAGACTCTTCCTTCAATAATGCTCATGTCAGGACCCCTCCTTGGGCCTTCGCTTGGATCTATTCTGAAAGTTGTCGAATCATATCCCCTAGCCTAGGCTTCTAGAGCCTATTTTTGCACCCGCACAACCCATTTCGGGTTATGGTCCTGACTTTGTAACCTCCGTTGAACCTCTGGATTTGTTCTCCCTTGTGTTTTGACTTGGTTCTATTTGACTTAGAACTACTCCTTATCTTGGAAAGAATCTCTAGGTTTAGTCCTTTTGACAGACCGTGACACTAAGTTCGAATTAAGGGGATGAGCTTAAATGTAGGAATTAGAGAGTTGAGAGGAAGAGCTAAAGATAAAAATGAAAGAGTTGAGAGAAGAATCGGCCCCCTCTAGACGTAAGCTCAAATTAAATTACGAAAATACCTTTGGTTTAATTATGTCTACTCTTTAAGGGTAAAAAACAATTATATTCTTATTACCTAAAATGCCCCTAATAAATATAATATATTGACAAATTATGCAATGCCTATGCTTAAAAATTATTATTCAATACCTAATTGAAAACCCGATGAATAATCTAAATCATGAAAAATTCTAGTTTCAAATTCTCACTAAACCATACAAAAAGAATTAAATAGTACATTTTTTATATGATTTCATTGAATAACTAACAATTATACAATTATGATTTTAACCAAAAAAATTTTGTACAAGTATAACATCAGGTTAAATATAAAAATGACCTATGTATTATATTTTTTTGTTAGTTTGTTACTTAAAAAATAAAAATGTTAATTTAGTATTTTACTTCTCATTATGTCATTCACTTTGGTACTTGAGACTAGGAATGTCTATTTTACCCATACTTATTGGAACCTGACTTTTTACCCAAATAGAGATAGAGATGTGTATTACATTGTAGGGGTAGCTATATGAATAAATATGATTTTAAATTTTTTATTAGGTATGAGAATAAAGAGGGGTAAAGTAGCGTCATTCCCATACTCAACATATATATTTATATATATTTAGTAAATAGATTTTTTATTAAATAGTATAAATTCTTATTTTAGATTAATTAGAAGTGATATATTTCTATTAAAATTTTTTTTTTGCTATATTTTCTTGTCTATTGCTTTTATTATTAATTGTGCATATGAATTTGCTAGATTTGTTGATTTTGAGTTTCTTAATCTAATTTGTATGTCTTTGTCAATTTTTTAAAGTATTTTGTTTTGTTATTTTTTTATCTATTTTTATTATTTTTTTGGATTTAAAAAAATAAAAATAGAAATTAATAAAAATTAAAATAAATAAAAATCAAAAGAAAAAAAAAGAATGATAAAGAAAAGATATAATTCAATTTATATTGGGTTTAAAATCTAATTTGAGATTAACCTAATTTTTCAAATTAAAGTCTAATTAATAATTCAAATATATAGAAAATTTATCTACTTGTATAAAACATGTCATTATTGAATTAATAATTTATATTGTTTTGATGTTTCATTTTAAGTAAAATCTTAAGTTCGATAATTAATTGATATATAAAGATTAAATTTGAATACATAAAATAGATGGATTAATTATATCATTTGATCAAAATATAATGATAGACCGTACAATTTTTTAAAAAAATTGACGTAAAAAAATATTATCATGTTATTATCTTTAATCACGTCAACTTAACACATAAAAAAAATCAACAAAATCAATATATAAATAAAAATATAACGTCAAAAAATTAAAAATATTATATTATCAATTTAAATAAAATTTTTTGAATCTTTAATAATTAATTAAACTATAAAAATTTAATTTAAACATATTAAAATAAAAATTAATTCTATCATTAAAACCATGTACATAAACGCAATGTATAATTTGAATTTAAAAAAATACATATATACATACGTGTGTGCATATATATAGAACTTAATTCGGTTGAACTTTACAAATAACCGACTCGTGGACAAATCATTAGCACCTAATTATCGAAAGCAAAGATACTCTGTTGAACCTGGTCCCACAATAAAATAACTAATTATTCAGTATTAGCACTCAATTTTTGTTTAACAAGAAATTCCCACAATAAGAAAAACTTTTGAATCTTGGCCGTTGATTCTATTCGCTCCCGCAAGGCCAACGGCCCAACAAGTGCGGTAACACGAGGCCTTTCATATACCTAACTACCCCATTGGACTCCACCAAGGAGCGGAAAAGTCCCCATTCATAAACTACCACGTGTACATGGGGGGCAAATGCGCAAATCAACAAAAGTCAATTTCACAGCTTTTTGAAAGGTTAATTGCGTACTGCATTTTCACTTTTCAGGGAGCGTTTTAAAGAGTGCCAACCCGCTCCTCCCACTGTATTGTCTCTGTTCTCTTCTCTCTTCACATTCTGAAGAAAGGAAAACAAAAATTTTTTAAAATTTTTCAATGATTTTGAACTTTTCAAATCGATTCTAATCCAGTAATCGCGGATAATCTACATTTCTTAAGGTAAGTTCAATTCAGCTTTTATCTTTTGTAATGAAAAATCAATGACTTATTTATTTTTAAGATTCAATGACAGTTTGGTTTTTTTTTTTTGGATTATTCATTCAGGGCATAATATATATTTTGGAATGGATCGACGAGGTTGGCCATGGAAGAAGAAATTTTCCAATAAAGCTGGAACCGACAAACAGGCAGTTCCATCAGATGGAAACGTTTCTTCATTATCTTCCCTAGCATCACTTGGAGATCAGGTTAGCTATTTTCAGTTTAAAAAGCCATAAAATTAAAGCATATATGAAACTTGTTCCTGATTATTTGGAGTTGGGCTTTTGTTCCGTTTCGTTGTCTACTGATAGGAAAAATGTAAGAAGGTAAACTATGTTCAAATATCCATGGAATCTTAAATGCATTTGACGGGGTTAGAAGATGAAGTTGACAAGTTAAAGGATCAAGTTAAATTTTCTGAGGATGACGTAAAGAATTTGAAAGGGAAGTTATCTAATGCTCATTCACAGATTCATGCGAAGGATGGTTTGATTACCCAACATGCTAAAGTTGCTGAGGAAGCTGTTTCAGGTATGGGTTGAAAACTGTTTTCACTTGTAATCCTACCATTAAAAGAGTGATGATTGGGAGTTTTTATGTACTTTATTAGGATGGGAAAAGGCGGATTCGGAAGTTATTGCATTGAAACGACAACTTGAAAATGTTACTCTTTTGAAGCTTTCAGTTGAGGATCGAGCATCCCATTTAGATGATGCGCTCAAGGAGTGTACGAGGCGGGTAATGAATGTGAAAGAGGAAAGTGAAAAGAAATTGCATGATGTGGTTTTAGCTAAAACCATACAATGGGACAAAATAAAGCTTGATCTTGAAGGGAAAATAGCTGAATTAGATCAAGGACTATTGAGGGCTGCAGCTGAAAACCAAGCTCTTTCAAGGTCATTGCAGGAGCGGTCGAATTTGATTGCTCAAATTGAGTTAGAAAAATCTAAAACAGAAGCTGAAATAGAACTTATGAAGGAAAACCTTATGTCACGTGAGAAGGAAATAAGCTCACTGAAGTACGAGCTGCTTATGGTTTCTAAGGAGCTTGAAATTCGCAATGAAGAAAATAATATAAGTATGAGGTCTGCAGAAGTACAAAACAAGCAACATTTAGAAAGTGTCAGAAAAATTGCAAAACTAGAAGCAGAGTGCCAAAGACTACGTGGCCTTGTCCGTAAGAGGTTTCCAGGGCCAGCTGCATTGGCCCAAATGAAGCAAGAAATTGACAAATTTGGCCTAGATTTTAGTGGATCTCAATCACGAAGGAATGTGGTCAAGAATCCTAAGCCAAATTTGTCTCCACAGATGGAACTTTCTGCTGACAACTTGCTGCAATCTCATAAAGAGATTGAGTATCTTACTAGGCGTTTGTTGGAGATAGAAGAGGAAACAAAGATGCTTAAAGAATCTTTGGCCACTCGCAATAATGAACTACAGGCTGCCAGAGACATGTGTGCTAAGACAAGTGTCAGGGTTAAGAGCTTAGAAGCACAAATGGAGGTCCTTAATCATCAAACAAGCTCCCCTAAATCAAGCATTGGACACACTGCTGACAATCCTTCAAGTCAATATGCTAGTAATGCACCCTGTATCACTTCCCTGTCCGAAGATGGGATTGATTTGGAAGGATGTTCAGCCGAATCTTTGCTACCGGCAAGCTCTGATATCTCTCATTTGGGGATGGAGAAGAGTAGTCATAAAGTTAACATGGAAGACAATTCCCATTGCTTGGACTTAATGGATGACTTTCTGGAGATGGAGAAATTGGCATGTCTGGAAAATGATGTTGGTGGAGCTAATGCTGTTTCACGCCATCTAGATGATGCTGGAAATTGTGAATCAGAAGATAATAAATCAAGCAATGCTGTCAAAGGTCACGACCTCTTTTCTGATCAAGAGCTTGGTTTCAGTCCATCATCAAAGCAGGGTTCTCCAAGCGTAAGATCCTCAATAACGGAGCTTCGGCAGGATGTGAATCTGCCTCTCCTGAAGCTTCAGTCTAGGGTTTTTACAGTTTTTGAGTCGCAAACTAAGGACATGGATTTGGGAAAGGTCTCGAAGGATATCAAATTTGCTATGTTGGAAATAAAACAAGGATCTCTCCCTCAGCACTCAGTCAACCCTTTTTCTGAGGGAGTTCAAATAGGTTATGGTCCCTCCAATCAGAAAGGTTTACCTGAAAAGAGTTTGCTATTCTTAGATCAAGAGAGTGTCACAAAGCAAAATTTGGCCTCCGCAATATCTCACATTCATCAGGTTGTACTATCATTTGGCAGAGAGGCAATGAGAGTTCAGGACCCTCATACTGATTGCAGTGGGCTACGTAAAAAATTAGACGACTTCTCTGCCTTTGTTGAGAAATTTGTATTCAATGAGAAGCATTTGGTTGAGTTCATATTGACACTTTCTCATGTTTTTGCCAAAGCTAATCAACTGAACCTTGGTGTCCTGGGATTTAGGGGCTATGATGGAAATGCCAGCAATAATGATTACATAGACAAGTTAGCTATGTTAGGGAATGAGGTTGTACAAGATAATTCATCAAAACAGGCATTTACTGGACGGTGCCACCGTATTTGTCATTCCTGTCCTGACTCAGAGGTAATTCAAGATGGAATCTTGAACCCAAGTTTTCAACTACTTGTTACATCATGCTTATGCTCATTGAAAATTTTGGAACAGCTGAAATTGGATAAAGAAAATGTGGCAGTGGATCTAGCAAGAAGCACTGAAGATCTTGAAAATACAAAGTCGCTACTACAAGAGACAGAAAGGAGTCTAACCGAACTGAAGCTACAGTTGGCTTCCTCTCAAAATCTCTACAACCTGGCTGAAACTCAGCTGAAATGTATGACTGAGTCTTACAAGTCACTAGAAATGCGTGAACAGGAGTTAGAAGCGCAGGTAAACCTTTTACGAGAAAAGTTATCGAAGTTAGATGATGAACTACTAGAAGAAAAGCGTGGTCATCAGGATGCCCTAGCTAGATGCAAGGATCTGGAGGACAAACTGCAAAGGTAAGAAAGAGCTTATCTTTTGAGCAACTATGATCTGCTAATAGGTAGTCAATTTACCAAAAATGGAAAAGGGAATTCATCAAATCAATGAACTAAAGGGCATTTTCAAATGATAAAGTATTGAGTGTCCTGTGGGAGTCATTGGTTATTTTGATGTTGCACTGTAAGCTTCATCAGTTGTTTTATTGGTGGTTACAATAATTACCATCATGTGATGCATCGTCTTTCTAACTGGTATGTAAATACTATGATTTTGTTAAAGGAACACAGCCTCCTCTGTATGTTCGTCATCAGCAATAGATTCTGACATGAAGATCAAACAGGTATGTATTATAATAATAACTTTGTTGGAGAATCTAGTCAAAAGAAAAAAAATTAACAAGTGAAGGTGAAAACTTTAATAAACTGATGGTCTTTCGGATATGCCATTCTAAGATGTCTCTGGGGCTTTTTGATATGCTATCTCTTGCACTTTGCTTGGTTATTTAGAATGTTTGTTATCCCCTCTTCTCTCTTTTGTTGCTCCGCCATCATTTTTTGCTTAACCTACTGTGTTCATCACCATACAAAGGCAGGAGGTTTGTTAATTGATCAGGATATTCCTTCGTTATTTGATGTTTTCTGAATGACTGTTAGCCTAAAAGCTTTAGCTGAAAGTGTCTGTCCTGTCACTCCATTGGCAGGAAATAGAGATGGTAGACGCAGCAGAAAAGCTTGCAGCATGTCAGGAGACTATTTACCTTCTTGGGAGGCAATTGCAAGCCTTGCGCACTCAGACAGAGAACTACCAGACTCGGTACGGTGACAAGCTGCTGAGGGAAAGTTCAGTTGAAGGCCGACTGAATCATAGTGGTTCAAAGGCACAAGATACTTACTGCTGTGACGACTCTGATCACATTGAGGCAGACAGTGTAGCATCTGCTGATGTGCAATCTGTGGTGAGGAGGATTCCTTGCGTTATAGTCATTCCACATCAAGTCTCTCGGATATTGAGCCTAATCTTTCATTGAGGTCTTCAGCAAGCTCATCTCACCTCAATCATGGGAGTTTTGGCCATCTTTTTTCTTTGAAAGGGAAGAATGGGCATTAGAATTATGCCCTAGATAATATTTCCTTTTACAATCTAGCGTTGTATAGATTTGGCAGGTGTCAAGATTGAAATTAGTTGTAGTTACTAGATCAATTTGCCATCAATAGGCTGGCCCCATCCGCCCTAAATAATATTTCCTTTTACTTCTCTTTTTCACTGGGATTGTAATTGGAGTTCTAATCAGAACTCACACATTGTAGAAATTATACTAATGAGGAAATGAAATGGCAGATCAAATTACCTTGCACAAGATATCAGCCAAAGGTGACTTGGACCTTATATTAGATTAAATGATCTAATGAAGTGCAATTCGCTTCTTGTAAATGCAAAACAGATGCATACAACAGTAAGTATAAATGTAACAAACGGTCAATGCACTGTTCACAGAAAAACAAAGGTGTCATCTCTGACATTGTTCAAGACATAAAAGCTCACAAAACAGGGGATGCATTTGTGATATAACGAGCCCGATTTTATGGTGAGGCACGAAGTAGGAAGAAAACAGAAATCATAATGGAAACTCAGATTTGGTTCATGGAATTTTAAATTACAAACATCTCACAAGGATTAAATCAATCTGAACAGGAGACATCTCAAAACAAACCTGAAATCCTCTGCAAAAGAAAGCATAGCAAGGAAAAGGCAACCTAATGTTACCACTCGCCACACAAGCAAAGAATCAGGTAACAGAATACTGCCTCAAGCAAAAAGCTGCAAAGCAGATAAAATCCAAACTTTCGTATAAACAATGTACAAAGATTTTAGAAAATGAATTTGAATTTGGTTGTAATAAACAATCTTTTTCAAAGAAATCTAGATTTCTTTGCTTTGGAAAAAAATCAGTACAGTCTTCAAGAGATAAACAATTTCTTGAATTTATGTGAATATTTTGAAAAAGAAAATTATGTTTCCTCTAAGCTAAACAAGCTTAAGAGAATTCTTCTTTTCGAAAAAGCTGTGGTATTCTTAACCAAAAAATTATTCCAACAAATTAATTCTTCTATTTTATAGTCAACAGAAACACTGTTGATCGAAAAATTTTTAAATTATTATACTTCTACTTATATGTATAATACATCTTTTGGTGAGTACATACCTAAACTTAAGTTTCGACTTGACCATGAAAGTTTTAATGTAAAAAGCATTGAATTTGGTTTAGTTGAACAAATAACTGTACAAAATTATTCTTTTCACCTTTTAAAAAATTTTTCAGTTTTTATTAAACGTCACTTTATTGAATGTATAAAATGGTCAAAACACTTTTTCTACGTTCATTTTACTATATACAGTTTTTTGGGTACCTTTCAACGAGAAAGATTTTACTAACCCTATCAAATATGAGAATTTGATACCGTATCCGATGGACACTTTCTTCAACCTCTAAATATACTTGATCCACCTATGCCAGTGATGAACATTAGGGATGTGTCTAAAAAGCTAAAAATCTACATCAAAAAGATGAATTGATTTGTGGCTACAATTCCGGTAAGTTCAAACCGAATGAAATAAATTATATTATTTTTGAAAAAGAATTATTAGCCATAAAAAATGGTGTATAGCAATTTCACATCTATTTAGCCTCGGAGATCTTTGTTATCCGAACAGATAACCAAGTAGTCAAAAACTTTTTCCAAAATAGAAAACTTTCTGATAATCCCAAGCGAATTAAGTGGTACAATTTTCTTTGTTCTTATCATTTTCAGGTAGAGTTCATCAACGGAGACAAAAATCTCCTTGCAAACTTCCTGAGTCGACCACATGGATCGAGGAAAACACCCTATCCATGATACAGATGGATGAAGAACCGTCAAGAAGAAACTAGGTAAAAAGTCCTCTTCTTCTTCTTCCTCTATTCCTTTTTCGCCATGACCCCTGATCTCTACAAATCCTAACCCAGGATTTAACTTTTAAGTTTGTAAAATCTCATCTTTATTTAGGTGAGAATATTTTTCCTTTAAATGAGGAAGATGTTGATCCATTATATCAGGATCTAATAAATTTGGAAAATATCTTAGATCATCAATATCTGGGTTAGATATTGCTTCTGCTTTTCTTTTCCCACGCGCCTCTGTTTGAGGGATAGGAATTTCACTTTGTTCTAGATCTGGTTGATCATCAGAACTATCTTCTTCATCTGATGTGGTTTCATCTAATGAAGGGGTTTCATCATTGACTACTAGGTTAGTAGCAAGAATTTTAAAATTATTATCTATTATATCATCATTTGCTTCTTCACTACATGTATTGGTTGTGTTATAGTTAAGCATATAATGATATTTATATTTAATAAAGAGTTCTTTATATTCTTCATAAAGAGTAGTAGGTCTCTGTCTTTTTCTGCTACAGTGATTGTTACAGTAACGTTTTATCTATCTGCTACAGTTGATTGCTACAGTGTTTTCTGTCTGCTAGTCATTGGCGTCGAATGAAGTTTTGTCCTTTTATGTCGGCTGTTAGTTTTGGCTTATCCTGGATTAGAATATGCACAGTTTATTTGACTGCTTGGTTATCTGTTTAGATAACAAATATCTCTGGGGCTAAATAGATGTTAAATCGCTGTACACCATTTTTTATGGCTAATAATTCTTTTTCAAAAATAATATAATTTATTTCGTTCGGTTTGAACTTACCGAAATTGTAACCACAAATCAATTCATCTTTTTTATGTAGATTTTTAGCTTTTAAGACACATCCCCAATGTTTATCACTAGCATCTGTCTTTAAAATAAGTAAATCACCTTGTTTAGGTAAATAGACCTTAGGTATGGTAGTTAAATCTAATTTGATTTGTTTGACAATATCAGAATCGTTAGGTGTCCAGATCTAAACGACTGGACACCTATGGGTTATTCTCAAATAATTTCTTCAACAGAACAACTGCTTGAAGAAATAAAATTCTCTAACCCAAAGATTAAAGATTTTTACAACCCTAGACTTGAATCACAAGTCTACAATTTGTTAAACAAAGTTTGGAAATCCCATCTCTCAGAAAAACAAATTTAGCTTTGGAAAAGGGATGACCAACTTAGCTGAATTCTTAGTCAAATAGGCTAAAGAATTTCAGAATTTTAAAGAAATAGCTTTCCAAAGCCTTCTATCAACAAATTTGCTAAAAAAACAAGATATTGATTTCTTTGCTTTAGAAGAAAATCAGTACAGTTTTCAAGAGATAAACAATTTTTTGAATTTATGTGAATATTTTGTTTTAATGGACCATCATTTTTAAAATCCTGCTAACGCTGTAATTGATGGAATCCAATCCAATTTAGCATAAGAGTAATTTTATTTAAAGTTAAACCAAACTATTTTATTTTTATTTTTGATGAAAACATTGAAAAATGTTTGTCTTCGAATCAAAATATTCAATTCTGATTTTGAATCTACATCGCATGATCTTTCAATCAGCTGGTCAGCGGTTTATGAATTTACAAATATTACTAATACTTCTATCAAACCGATTGATTCTAATATTATTAAAATTTTTGAACCAAATACCTTTGATTCAGAAATTAAACCTAGATTAGTAAATCAAGCAAACTTATCAATCCCAAAAGGATGCTGTCTCGAAGATCTTTCAAATACTTCTGAAAAACAGAAGTACCAAGTTTAGAATTTTTCTCATCAGAAAAAAATCTTTACTTTAAAAATCCAAATGAATCAATCAGTTTTAATCCAAACCTAGTTTTACCTCCTATAAATGTTTTAAATCATCAACAAGATGATGACATAGAAAGTATAACTAGTAATCAATCCTTTTGTACTCTTTATCGAAGTTCTTTTTCAGGTTTTCATAGTACAAACAGTATAGAAGCCCTTGGATGAGCAAATAGTATATGCCAATCAGGTAATACTGATACTGCTCAAATTTTTATTTTTCAGGAGATAATCCAGCTCAGCAAGGTACAGTTGATAATCAAACCCATTATCATTCTGTTAATTCTGTGATTAATTCACATACCTTTTCTTCTAGAAAAACTAAAAATGAAGATATTAAAATGTTTCATTCTATAAATAATTTTCGTATTTCTGGCCCTTGCCAAAACGAAATAATATCATTTGCCAACAAGGTACAATATTATACTTATATCGAAGGTTATTTTTATTTTCAAAACTATAAACCCTATAGTTTAAATATTTTGATTGACATAGGAGCAACAATCTCTAGCTGTCAACCTAATGATTTGCTGTCAATAAAATGGCAACCCATGAAGCATCCTATAATAATAATAGGTATCAATGGTAAAGAAACCATTGTTAGCCTAAAAGCAAAATATATACCTGTTGCCTTAAATGATAAAAAATTCATTATACCTAAAATATTATGCTTTCCTAATATGCATGGAGACATCCTGTTAGGAAATAATTTTATACATAAATATTTACCATTTTCTGTTTATCCAAAATATCTTACTTTTACTATTGATAAAAAATCGATAGATGTTCCTCTTTTATCCAAGCATAACCATGTTTGTGATAATGGTTTTCATCCAGAAATAACACATATTTCTGAACTTAAAGCTATTAACGAAAAACATTGGCTTTATAAAATTTTGCAGGAAAACTTCAGTGAAGACCCATTGAAGCTTTGGAAATGCAGTCCTAGATACTGTGAACTTACTCTTCATTTTTCACAAGAGATTATTAGAGTAAAACCCATGATCTATACCAAATAGGATATAGACGAATTTGAAGTTCAAATTTCAAAATTGCTTGACAAAGGTCTGATAGAACCAACTACCAGCCCTCATTCCAGTCCAGCATTCATGGTAAGAAACCATTCTGAGATTAAATGAGGCAAACTCCGTATGGTTATTAATTACAAGAAACTAAACCAAAATCTTGTTTTTGATGGCTATTTTATCCCTCGTAAAGATGTTTTAATTAATTTAGCAAAAAATGCTAAATACTTTTCTAAATTTGATTGTAAATCCAGTTTTTGGCAAATCATGCTAAACGAAACCTCTAAACCCCTTACTGCTTTTAGTGCACCAGCAGGGCATTACCAATAGACTGTTATGCCTTTCGGTCTATGCAACACCCCTCAAATCTTTCAACATTGGATGGATAGTATTTTCAGCAAACATAAATAATTTTGTTGTGTATATATTGATGATATTTTAATTTTTTCTAATACTTTAGATGAGCACAGAAAACATCTGAATATTATTGCTCAAGAATTTATTTTACATGGTATTATTTTGAGTCCCAAAAAGGTTGAACTCGAAAAAACTAAAATTGAATTTCTTGGTTTTAATCTTTCTGCAAATGGACTAACCCTACAGGATCATATTATTTTCAAGATCAAAGATTTTCTAGAACAACTGGATAATGTCAAACAGCTACAATAGCTGTTAGGTATACTTAATTATGGCAAGCAATTTTTCAAAAACCTTTTCAAAAAGGAAAGCTATCTTTTGCGTAAATTACGAAAAGATAATGATTTTGTTTGGACACCTAACGATTCTGATATTGTCAAATAGATCAAATCAGATTTAACTACTATACTTAAGGTCTATTTACCTAAACAAGGTGATTTACTTATTTTAGAGACAGATGCCAGTGATGAACATTGGGGATGTGTCTTAAAAGCTAAAAATCTACATAAAAAAGATGAATTGATTTGTGGCTACAATTCTGGTAAGTTTAAACCAAACGAAATAAATTATATTATTTTTGAAAAAGAATTATTAGCCATAAAAAAATGGTGTACAACGATTTCACATCTATTTAGCCCCAGCGATCTTTATTATCTGAACAGATAACCAAGCAGTCAAAAACTTTCTCCAAAATAGAAAGCTTTCTGATAATCCCAGGCGAATTAGGTGGTACAATTTTCTCTGTTCTTATCATTTTCAGGTAGAGTTCATCAACGGAGACAAAAACCTCATTACAGACTTCCTGAGTCGACCACATGGATCGAGGAAAACACCCTATCCATGATACAGGTGGATGGAGAACCTTTAAGAAGAAACCAGGTAAAAAGTCCTCTTCTTCTTCCTCCTCTATTTCTTTTTCTTCACGACCTCTGATCTCCACAAATCCTAACTCAGGATTTAACTTTTACAATAATCCTAACCAAAGATTATATCTCTACCAACAACCTTTATATTGACCTCCTTTCATAAGGATTCAACCAGTATACTCACAGTTTGCTCAAGATCCAAACGACTGGACACCTATGAGTTATTCTCAAATAGTTTTTTCAACAGAACAACTGCTTGAAGAAATAAAATTTTCTAACCCAGAGATTAAAGATTTTTACAACCCTGGACTTGAACCACAAGTTTACAATTTGTTAAACAAAGTTCAAAAATCCCATATCTCAGAAAACAAATCTAGCTTTCGAAAAGGGATAACCAGCTAAGCTGAATTCTTAGTCAAACAGGCTAAAGAATTTCAAAATTTTAAAGAAATAGCTTTCCAATGCCTTCTATCAACAAATTTGCTAAAATAGCAAGATATTGATTTCTTTGCTTTGTGATCAAGAAGGTCACTATGCAAATACTTGTCCTAACAAAGGAAAAAGTGCGAAGAAAATGATCAAAAACCTTGATGAAATTTTTCTTCAAATTTGTTTTGCTGATATTATCTAACGAAAAAATTTATTATGAAGTTTTTTCAAAAACGGATTATAGTTCTTCTGACGATGAATCAGATTTTATTTTTATGCTGAATACTAAATCTAACCAAGATAATGTTTCAGTAACCTCTTCTACAGGTACAACAACTACAAACTCCTACCACTTTCAAACAGGGAATAGACCTTATGGACAAAGCAAAATTCTTTTTCCATTTAGCCACCAAACCAGACTATCCAAAAATAGCTTACTGGACAGATGGCAAACGCATTTTTGTTAAAGGATTTGTGCAACCACATGAAGATCTTGATATCGAAAATGCCCTAGAAGTAATTGAGCTTTTGGATAAATTATCTAAAATGAAAGATCTTGATCATTCGACTGAACTACTATACCAGTATCAAGAAGGATGGCAGATGTGGAACAAATCACATTTCGGATCTCCTCAATCTCCCCAGTCCCTTAATGCACTGGATGAAGAATTTCATAACTTAAACAATGCTATAGAAGGATAAACTGTGCATATTCTAATCCAGGATAAGCCAGAACTAATAGCCAACACAAAAGGACAAAACTCCATTTGCCGCCAACGACTAGCAGACAGAAAATACTGTAGCAGTCACTGTAGCAAAAAAAGACAGAGACCTATTACAAAAGACACTGTAGCAAGTCAACTTTTGAAAGATTTAATCCAAATCTTGAAAAATGAGTTTTGTGGTAATACAGAATCCTTGGATCTTACTCAAGAAGCTCAATTTATTTGAACATCTATCGATTTTTTATCAATAGTAAAAGTAAGATATTCTGGATAAACAAAAAATGATAAATATTTATGTATAAAATTATTTTCTAGCAGGAAGTTTCCATGCATATTAGGAAAGCATAATATTTTAGGTGTAATGAATTTTTTATCATTTAAGGCAACAAGCTGATTTGGCAAGTTAGGAAGATTTAAGTTTGGTTTTTCAATGGCTTTGTGATCAAAAAATAAATGACAAGCATAGTCATAAGTGTAAGCCAACATGTCTGCCCTACAACTCAGTTTACGAAACCTACTTCCAGAAGCAAGTGTTCTTTTTGTGTACCCGAATTAAACCAAAGAAAGAGGCTAATATTCAAAGAATGTAGTCAATATTGGTGAAAGAGACCTCTATATATATTTAAGAATGCATAACAGGTGGCTAGTATTACATGCCATTGCCAGTCAAGCCAAACTGGGAAAGCCATCAATGATCAAACGATTCTATCTTCAACCTATTACAATGGGCCCAAAGGCTGGTGTCTCTTTCACTCTTTTCCAGTCGAGCAAAACTGGAAAAGCCATCAATTATCAAAAGATGGCTATCAAAGAACAATATAAAAACATTAGTTTGAAATGAAACAATATCAGTTGAGTTGGCAATTAATTGTATTTTTCAGCTCCAAATTTGCAGTTCAAGCACTAAAAATTTGCGTTTTCATTAAGAAATTCATCTCTTCCATCTTTTCAATTTCGTCCCCCAAGCACCCCAAAGAAAAGAAATTCCTTGCTGTTGAGATTTTTTGGGTAAAAAGACAAGAAAAGAGAAAACTGATTAGAAACTGCAGTTATCTGAATTGATGATGCCCTTTAAGAAAAAAAATAGTGAGTTGCTCATTACAGTGTGTTGGCATGTGAGCTTGTCTCAACCATTGTTCATAGCAGTGAGCTCCTAGCCATTTTTCACCAATTTAGGCTAGCAGACATCAAATGACAGAAACTTATACAAATGCAAGAGACATGCAAAACAAATCTGAACTGTTTAATGCGCAGGACCATCACCCTGAATGCCGTAGTCCTAACAGATGCTTGCCCGTCAATAAGAAGAAAAAGGGTTTTTGCTTATGCCAATGGGTCACGTAATAAAATCCAGCTGATTCTGGACTGCTTAAATGGAAGGGACAAAAGAAATTAGAAATTAGCTCAAGGAACCCTACCTAGCCAACAATGGATCCTAACTGCATGTGCCAAGTGTACGAAGATTAATGGAAAAGGAGATTAAGCATTGTAAATACTAACTGCTTTTCTGTGTCAGGCCTCCAGCTTATCAAAAGTCAAACCATGGCAAAAGATAGACATCCAAATTGAACAGATAATAGAAATACTTAAAGGCTGCAAACCTTCAAATAATTAAAGGAAGCTCCATCTTTCACTTTATCCCCTTGTCTTTAAGTCCACAGAAATACTTAAAGGCTGCAAACCTTCCAATAATTAAAGGAAGCTCCATATTTCACTTTATCTCCTTGTCTTTAAGTCCATATTATGAATATGAGGTCATTATTCTTGTTTTTTCTAGCCTTCTTACTGCAAACGTACTGGTAATAATGCACGAGTGCATGCTAAATTTAGCTGATAATTTTGCAGTATGGTGTCACCTAGTAACGTAGATCATAAAATTGCTTGGACTTAAATCTTAGCCATGCAATGATTTCTGAATCGTTATTTTTATAGGAGTTAATGTTATGAATGATTTCTAAACTATAGTAAAATGTTTAAAGTGATATTGAACTTAAAAAATATCTAATTTGATACCTAAATTATAAATATTTTAACTAATGTGATATTGAGAGGGTTATTTGTCCACTACTTGTCATCATTTAAAGTTAGCCACCAAAGGAGTAAGAATCACTTTAATTAAAAGATTCATAATTCAAGTATCATATTAAAAATTTTTAATATTCAAGTATCACATTAAATATTTTACTATAGATTAGAGGCCAATCATTACATTAACTCATTCTATATTCATATAGCTTGAAGAAATAGGAAGCTAGATTGGCTACGATCAAGAGTAATGAACAGAGAATTCGAAATGGCAACTTCCTGGTCCAGCATCATTATTTCAGTTGAAGTTTAGACTTTAAAGTATCTTATTGCATGCGTTTCTCATCCAAATAGAACACATGCATCATATATGCACTCAGATTTTCAAACTATTTCCTGGAATAGAAAAACTTACTACGTACATCATATATTCTAAAGACTAAAATATGCTAAAAAGGTGCAGCACTTATAAATTAGAATTTAAATGATTTCGGTTTTGCCCTTTTGAAGGCTTTTCTAGGGTGAAAAGTTTTTTGTTTCAGCCTAAAAAAGATCAAGAAACATGCTGCATGAGGTTGAAAATATAGCATATCCAATCATGTTAGAACTTAGCTGTAGATTATAACAGGTGAACTACTTAGTAATCATTCACATTAAGAAGCCAATAATAAAAGTAGCTGCTATCCATTCAATCCCAAGCAAAGGGGAAAGAACGTTTGGATGATTTGATATGAGTAAGCTGCCAAAAGTAATTTCTCCATCTGAAGTACTTCAAGTTCATGCACTAGCCACTAACCAATGCAAGACCTGATATTCAACTTGCTGAAGAAACTTGAACTCCACAAAGTCAACCCCACGTAGTATATGTTACAAGTATATTTCTAGCTCATATCGTCTAGTTTTAAGTCTCTAAACTCTTCATTTTATTAGGATCTTGAAGCTATTGACGACATAAGTACATGGTTGTGGAAGAGCAAGAAAAGACAGACATAATTCAAGTAAAAGAACATTGATTTTCCCATGAAATTTTTTCATTACTTTTAAGGATACTCTCAAGAGCAAGTGTAATACGTGCCACTTGAGGGAAAAACTTAGGTACATGCACAATATACAATATTATAAATAATTAAAAAGAAGATAATTTCAATAAGTTATAGTCAGAAAAACCATTCATGTCATGCATAGCGGTATGTTTATATAACTGCAATGAAGCAAAGCAACTTCAATATCTTTCTTCAATCCCCTAACCAACCCCTTATTAACGTTTCTTCATGTGATCGTGGCTGTTAGAGAGCGAAACACAACTTCTTCACAAGGAATTGTAAGGCCCATGTTGTGGTTAAAGCCAAACTCCTCTTCAGCTCTTTGAAGCAAGCTCTGAAACTCAGGGTGAGCCAACCATGATATTGGAACTATGTATCTGCTTCTGTTTTCTCCAACATAGACAACAAAATGGCCTTTAGGTACATCATCTGGAATCCTTCCTTCCTTATCATAACCATGTTTTTTGCCAAAACTTGAGCACCTTTTAAGAATGTGTTTGATAGCTGCCGTTTGAGGTAGTTTGTTTGATTTCTTGATAGCCATATCTGGTTTAATTAGATTACTCAAGCTTTGAACTTTTAGGGGGTGGTGGGGAAGGAAAAAGGAAGGCTAAAATGGAGAGAATTGGAATGAATGGTGGTGGGGAAGGATTAAGGTAAAGGAGGTATTTATACGGGGGGAAGCGTGGGAAGAGAGAATTTTATGTTGAAACAAAGTCATATGCTGTGTAGGAGAAATGAACAGACCAAGGATGTAATGGAGATGACTGTATGTAAAGGCATGCAGGGTTTCAAACTTTCTATCCCAATGGGACTTAGCCTATCCTGTTGCCTCTTCCAAGGACAAAAACATAGGTCCATTTTTCTCTGTTTTTCGTTCTCAAGTTCTCTACCATTTGTCTCTTCTGATTCATGCCTTATTCTAAGGCTGAGAAAAATACATTCCTAAACATTTGCCCCACAGTTGCCATATTAAACAACGTGTAAATGTCCCTATCACTCTCTTTGATATGATTCAGAAAGTTCAGCTTCTTGGCCTATTAGCTCAATCTTCTCATAAACTTATAAAAGTAACTGTAAAAGAAAGAAAATACTATGGAAGTAAACTAATAATTTTTTTATAAAAAAAAGTCAGTCTCAGAATAAAGAAATAGATTGTAGGTCAAGAAATAGATTGTAGGTCGTGAAATTTGATATTTAAACTTGCTAGAATTCATCTTATAAGGATGAGTAATCAACTAACCTCCAGATTCAATTACTTCTTTAATTTTATAGTATAAAATTCAGGATTTCATGCTACTAGATTTTTTGTCTTTCTGTTATAGAACAGCCTTGGAGATTGAATGCTTGTCCCAAAGTCACGGAATGTCCAAAATTTGGTCCTTTCTTTATAGTCGGAGTTCGTCCAGCTCGAAGGAACAGATTTCGGGTAGTTTATGGACCACACACACAACACAAAGCCACCGGTTTTTGTCCCACTTAACACAAAATTTGGCCTGCTCACTGTTCAGCATTTAGCTTGGCAAGGCTAAATTTGAGCTGCCTAGTCACCCGTCTTTATTGCTGATTAGTTGAAAGCTGGCGGCAACGACAAACAAGGCTCTACCACGTAATCACAGTGTCATCGAAAGGGAAGCATGGATTCTCCTCCTAAATTCCTCTTATGTCTTCCGCATTATACAAAATTTTTTCATTGTTTTTGGCCCTTAAATTTCACCAACTTAAAGAGCACATATAAGCCTTCAACTTCTTTTACCCAATGATTTTAAGAAAACATATAAGGTGAAAGTTTGAATCTCACCATCTTCAATTCCAATGCCTTGTCCGATGGATAAAAAAGAAAAAAAGGCACAAAGCAACATCACCATAGATTTTATACATATCCATTCTCAAACATATATGCAAGCTGTCTTGCAAGGTTAGCTTAGTTGGCTAATAAATAGACTCTCTCTACATCGATGACCAACTATTATAACATCCCAGACTTTTCAGGTGCGACTGGCCATGTGCTTCTGCCGAAAACATGGAACTCTAAAACTGCAATAATCAAAATACAGGGTATAGTATTGAATCAAAATATTACAGCCTCCATTCATCTAATATAGGAGATATTTCCCGTGTTTCCTGCTTCCTTCATATTCTCTTTCAAATAACTGCTGGAAAAGGCATTTAATCTAGCATTGCATGCCAAAACCCAGAACAAATTTATATTGGCTGTCTTCATTACTTTTAAAACTTCCAAGTGATTTGACTGTAACTTGATGGTGAAAAACTGCAAGTAGTACTATACTTTTTGAGTTTATCATGGGATGAAATAGATAGGCCGCCATGCCATCATTTTCACTGAGGTTTGAGTCATAATGGCTAAACTCTTATGGCTATCTGATCAAAATAGAAGACATTTTTTTTTTCTTTCAGTAATACGGCCACCGAGTGGTGACCACATTCCAAATGATGATATGCATGTGAAGGCCATGTTACTTTTGTCGTGAAAATGCCTTGAAGAGACAAAAATGGTTAATGTAACTACGTTAAGGCCGCTCAACATCATCAATTGCTACTGTACCGGTGACATCATCAGCTTGCCTACTTATCCCATTCAAAACTTGCTTTTTTTTTTTTTTTTCTTAAATCCTATTGAGATCGCATTTAATTTATAAAATATTATTTACTTTGATCCAAAAGTTTTATGATTTTATCTTATAAAAATATCTCTTAAATATAAATTTAAATTTTTACTGTAAATATTATATCGGATCCTCGTTGGGATGTCACAATGGTTAATAAGGGAGCTGTAACTCTAGATGGAGGCTAGTGATACTTTCAACCAAGATAGATAAAACAATTTAACACCGAATGTCTAGATCAAACCACCTTCCCTGTACAAAAAAGGCTAATATTTCCTCTGCCTTTGAGTATAAAACAAATAGGAAGTTGACTCTTAAGTTTAGATCAAGGAGGGTTTTATATTTATTTATTTGTTTTTTTGGTTCCTTGGAAGGAAATAGGATAGAATTGGGGTGTGGGGCATTAAGCTTTTGTTAAATAATGGAGCAATAATGTACTACGACAATTCTAATATCAAAAGCTCAATGATTAATCTGAAATGAGCAAAGGACATTTTATTATAATCTAGCATAATTTGTTTCGGCTTCGATTTCTATGAGTCAAGTCAAGACCACAGCTTAAAGTTTCTTTACCGAAATCTGGCGTGCAGACATGGACGAACAGATGCAATTGAACTGGAATACACACAAAAGCATTGTTGAGACCCCACATTGAAGGCAAAGGGTGCCCCGTAAAGCTCCATTAAGAAGTCCTAGAACACAGAAGGATTTGTGAAGGGGCCCCTAGGCATTAAATGCTGCAGTCACATGATTACATACTTTGTGCAATTTCAAGCAAACTGCTGCATTGTAGGAAAATGCACACACCAAAGTCCAAAAAACATAAAGTCACACTGTTGCAACAACTAGATAATCTGTTGCAGCTGAACCCATCCTATCTCAAACAAGCTATCCAAATCGCAAAGACCTTTCAATTCCTACATACTCATTCATCCAAAACTATGAAGACTAGTATCCAATTAACCTGCAAGATATTATCCACTTTAATTTGAAGATTTTATGATTTTATTCCACAAAAGGTGTCTCACAAATTTTGAGTTTAGATCTCTACATATATATATATATATATATATATTTTTATCTATATATTCTTTCAATGTTTGATTGAAAGCATTACAATCTCTTTACTATTAAAACTTGACATCCCTGTCAAGCTAAATCCAACACAAGATCAAAGTCACATAAAATGTTGAGATTTTAGAGGTGGCTCTTAACTGTGTAGCACTTAGTGACTCCCACGACACTATCGTGTAGCACTTAGTGACTTTCACGATGTAGCATTTAGTTCCCGTCGATTGGTGATAGCTTTAATACCATTTGTGGAAACCTATACCCAACTTGTGAGGTATTATTCACTTTGACCCAAATGTCTCACAGTTTTTTCCCACAAATAGTGCCTCAGAAGTTTGGGTTTAGATTTTTACATATATATTATTCCTTATACACACATTCTTCTAATGTGGGATTGGGGGTGTTACAAAAATAAAGTTAATTTTTACAAGGGAGGAAATGTTTACCATGTTGTAAATGTAACTTACAAAATGGTAAGAAGACTTTTGACACCAATGCAAATGTTATCTTTCATACTTTCAAAGACTCAAACTATTTCTCTTTAAGAAAGCTTTTGGATCCTACCTATAAGATAAATTTTGTTAAGTTATTGACTTTGCTTTGGTTTATTCATGTGTCAGCTCTTTTGCTATGCTATTGCTAACTTTGCTTTGGTTTATCCATGTGTCTTTTGCCATGGTTTTCTTTGTTTTGTTTTTTGCTTTCCTTTCTTAATGCTTGAATCATTCTCTCTTCTACTTTTGTTGTTTGCTAATATACTTCTTTGAGAATTTATTTCCTACTATATTATTTTCCATGGGAATCTCTTTGTTTTATTGGTTTTTTTTCTAGCATATGTTTTCTTTGGTTTATTTTATTGTTCTTGATTTTTTGGGACTATTTGTTCTTTGCTTCTTTTGTTTTCTCATTGCTTTGTTTACTTATTACCCATTTCTTCATTTTCTCATGACTTTGTTGTCATCAATCTTTGTAGTCTTTGTTTTTCGTATTTTTGCTGCTTGTCATTCTTTTGTTTTTTATTGGATTGTTGAGTGATTCAATCAATTTTTTATGTATGATTGGCCGATTTTGTTGTCCTTTATTTATTCTATGATTTTAAGAAATGTCAGGGTTGGTATGCTTTCCTTACTTATTTGCTTTTTCATGCTTGCTTTAAAATTAATTTGTTTGACAATTTTTTTTAACTGTTCGAATTTTAGTTGATGTCTTATTGCATAAGCAAATCTATGCTTTATTATCTATTTCGCTTGGTTCTTTTTCTTCTTTATATCAATGTTTTTATTCTTTTTGTTGTTTTTGCATATTGGTTATTTTGGTTATGGGCTTCTTCATTATTTCGTTGTTGTTTAATTTATTGTTCAGTTGTTTTACTTGATATTTGCATTAATGTTTCTCCCTGTTTGTTCATTTGCTTCATTATGGATTCGTTAAGCATTTATGTTTTTCTTTAGATGGTTTGTTATACATTTTTTCAACGAGAATCAATATTTAATACTTTTTTTTACTTTCAAAATCTCATGCTTTTATTGTGTTAGATGCTTTGTTAAGGTTTTTCAGCATTCATGTTTTTATACCATTTTTTTTATATTTATTGCCTTTTTTTTGCTATTATTGGACGCTATTTTTTTATAGTGTATTTTTTATTTTATTATTATTATTAGATTGTTGTCATTTTGTCATTTTTTATCTTTTTATATTTTAGTTTTTCAAGTAGTTAATTATCTTTTGATCTTAATTGTTGTTGCTTTTTTATTTTCTTTGGGAACCATGTTACATTTTTGTATAGATATTTTTGCCTTTTTTTTTTTACTTTCAGCCCTCTTTTCTTTTTTTTTATCATCATCATTATTTTATAAATGTTATTATTTAAGTAAATGAGTGTGTATCTTTAACTTTGTTTTGGCATTCTAATAAGTGCAACCATGTTAGTGTTTTTGTTCATTTGTTCTTTT